AAATGACTAGGTCATTCGCTGGTCATTCAGAGGTCATTTCAAAATTATCAAATGACCTGGTCATTTGCCATCACTGCCGCACACCAACCTAACCTAGTTTAATATACTAGAAAAAGAACGATCGGAACAATCAAATGTATGCTTTGATTTTTAGTGGTTGATTTACATTCTAATGACGAATTTTGAAAAAATGTTTCTTTATTAATTTGTATTCTTTAATTAATAAATTTATTTCTAAATGATAAGCACTCAAAATTTATAAATAATGTAATGCATCAACCGAATTTCTTGTCAAAAGAGCACCTTTATAATCGTTATATATGGGAGGTTTGCTATTAGAATCGAGTTACGAACATAGTAAATCATATGATCCGTAACGTAATTTTAATAGCTTACCTCCCATATTTCTAGCAATGTAATTTTATTTTTTGTAGACAGAAATTAAATATTTAATGAGTTATTCCTAAAGTTGTCGGGAGGTCTCATTATTTTCTGCTTTTTACGTTACCTACCAACAAATTAAATTTTTGAAAATATTGTTTTAACCTAAATTTAGCTAGATCGTTCTTAGAAATGTCGATCAGACGATCGGCAACGATTGAACGATTTTAAATCTTTGCGTCTTTTATGAAGGTATATTTGGATTGCTTTTAGTTTCGTTTCTAGTAGATAGTTTTTTTTAACTTTCGCCCTTTTCTTTGAATCCATAAATAAAAGATATTTTTTTGTTATTTCATTTAATCATATTTTTAGTTCTAGACAGGGTTTTTTTTTATTCTTAGTAAAATTTGTCTTTCGGGGTAGCTTATTCCGGAAATAAGCATATGAATATTTAATTTTAATTTTTCCCGTTTAAACAATGCTCTAATATTTACAAATTGACGGTGATCGGCAAAATATGTCTCAGAGCTATAATGTGACATACGCGCTATTGATATTGTAAAAGCTATTGGTTTTATTATTTATTTTAATCCTAATAACTATTACCTCACTCATAATTAGGATTAATGTTATAAGGTATAGTTGTCTTATTATTTTGAATTCTATTCTTGTTTTTTTCAATAATTGAAATATTTGATTATAATAATTTTGAAATTATCATCAAATGTTGTTCAAAGGAAAAAAGTTAAATTTAATCAAAATAAATCTTGACACAATCGACTTCTTTATTAACTTTTCGTTACATTTATTATAGAAATAACCTTATGGAGTTATAAATTAGATCCTGCTTTGATCCGAAACATTAGTGGTTTGCCTATAGTTTGGACTCGAGACAGAAATGTTAAAAATTTCTTGACTCGACTTTGACTCGAGTTGACTCGTAGAATACTCGAGTTGGAAATTCGAGTCAGAAACTCGAGTCAAACTCGTGTCTAAGTCATAATGCAGACCGGAAAAGTACAATGCGGGCCAAAATTTTGTGATATTTTTTTTTTTTAAAAAATTTTTATTCAAAGATTATATAATAAATGTTAATTATATTATGTTAATATATGCAGTATTAGAAAAAAAATTACATGCTATTTATTAGTCCGGAGCGTAGCGAAGGACTATATACCTCTTTGACTCGAATAGGTTTAACTCGAGTCAACTCGAATTCTGACTCGAATCAAGAAAATTTTGACTCGAATCAGAATTTAACTCGAGTTGACTCGAGTTAAACGAATACGAGTCCAGTCTCTGGGTTTGCCTTTTTTGAGATTTTTTTTTCTAAATAAAATAAGGAATAAATGTGGCTACGATTTATAAACAAAGGCGCAAATTCTCATGCAGAACATGTTTTGTATCCGTTGGGTCGAAGCATATTGAACTCGAACCCGTTAATAATTACAGAACCCGAATTCGACAAGTTTGAATGGTAATAAAAAATCTATTTTGAATTTAGGTCGTCCACAATTGCTATCAATTAAAATTTAATTCGCCAAAACATTAATATTTAACCATGCAAATTAAAATTTAATCGAATTAATTTGAAATAATGTGATAAATTTCTTTATTAGGGTTGAGATGAGTCACGTTAAATAGACGTGCCAATAATAAATTAATTTTAAATAACAAGTGAGTGATAAATTTAAAATTCATCCAAATTTCCAATTATGGAATAAATCGATTATGATAAAAGCAAATAATAAATCGTTTGTTCCAAAATTCTAATATATTCTTCTCGATCGTTACTCGTTGTATTCATTTCATATGGAACTTCAGAAGCGTAATTGAGAGGGTAATTAACTGGTGGACCATAAGTAGAACTTCTATTCGGAAAATTAACGTTATTATAATGGAAGGAATGGACATCGATGGTAGATTCCTGAGTAGGGAGAAAGCCACTTGCTGAATTTTGTGTAAAGGTTGTATTTTCAAAAGAAAAAATCTCAATGTCTCTTTTGGCGTAGTCCGATTCTGCGCTTTTCTGATTGTTTTCAACTTCATTCATATGCTTATCAAATACGATTTGAACGTTGTTTTGCTTATACAAAGATTTAGCATCCTCAACTAGCTTATTGTAACAATCTTTGATATCTTGTGATTCTTTGTCCCAAGACCTTGTTGCGATCTTAGAAAGTTGGCTCATATGTGGTAACACGCTGTTCTGTACGCGATAAAAGCGTTTGGAAATGCTTTTGCTCTATTTTTGTTTGATGTTTTAAATTTTTTAGAATTTTTGATGAGATCATTTGCTGTTAAATTGGGAGGAATTGACGGTTTGACATCGATGAAAAAATTATTCGTTTCGTGATTTAAACTGAAATATGTTTCATCAGTATTTGAATTAATAGCATTATTTTTTCTCTTTAAAGTTTTAGGCATAATTAATCATAAAAAAGGATATGATATATTAAGTCAAGTTTATTAAAATGAAAATTTAATTTTTTTTGGAATCAGTTTATGAAGAATATATATATAAGTATTTGTCGAGGGTTTATAATCTTGATTTGTACTATATGGTTGCATGTCGGCTAAAAAAAAAATTTTTTTTTGATTAACATTACATGAATGATTAGTAAATCTATCGAATAAAATTCTATTTATTGTTTGTGTAACTTTGATTTAAGGGTTCCAGGAGTAAATAAATGAGCAGTGTAACTTAAAAATTTAGTTGACGTAGTTCGTGACTAATTAATACGATTATGAAGTAGTCTAACTGAATAAATTCTTATGAAAACAAGGTTCCATATGACAATATCGTAATTCGAAAAAGGGAAGAAATATATTGTGTGATAAAAATAAAGAAAAAGACCCTGCCTAATTCCCCAAGAGAAACCCATCGTATTTATAATAAATTTTTAATAAAGGACTAGCTGGCCTTACGACAGTCTAACCTGGAAACAAGACAAACTGGCCGAAATTAATGTTCAAGTCTAACAAAATTAACACGAACGATTTACGGCCATAATTATCGCTCATTAAGTGTAACAGTAACATATATATATACAATCTTAAATCACTTGTAAAATATTCTAAAAAACACATAATATATATAAAATTTTAATTAAATTATAAAAAATATTACTTAAAAAAATATTGTATTATTATCTAGTTCTAGTTCCTCTGACACATAATCTAAATAAATTCGTTTCAAAAAATAAATATTGATTAGTGTTAAAATTTATAGTTAATTTAATTTTAAGTATTAAATATTTACCACTATTGTAATCTTCAAATAATTCACTCTATTTTAAACTGTTGTTATTATCATCTAAGTTTCTTTTACCTTCTTTATTTTTTTAAAAAATATATTAAAAAAATAATAATTATTATTAGTTAAATTAGACATTAATGAACATTTAATAATTGAATTCAAGAAAAAAGGACATAATTCAATTCGATTATAATTACCCAATTTTGAGTTCTGTATCATGATCTTTATCCCAAAATGGCTTTCTGCCTGTAATTAACTCCCACTTAATCATGCCAAAAATATAGATATCTGAAGCTATGGTATAATCTTTTCTTTGTAAAATCTCAGGAACAATATAGGAATTATTCCATAAATTTTATCATTATCTGTTGATTCAATTGAAGACTTACTTATTTCTAAATCGCTCATTACTGCAGTATGCTTGCTGGTAGGATTACTATAAATTATATTACCTATGTAATCTCAATGAATAAATTTTTGAGTATGGATATGATAAAGTCCTCCTATAATATTATCCAATATTCTAACTTTTTAATCCATTCAATATTAAAAAGATTTTTGCCATGTAATGACCCAAATCACCAGATTCATAATAATTCATAAATCTTAGGATCAATAGTAATTCCGTAATACTCATTTATATGAAAAGAACTATATAGTCCACTGTTTAAATTAATTGATTATAAGGAATAAACTCCATTTTTACAGTTTGATTGTCACAATTAATTTTGTATTTTTATAAAATCATCAATAACTCGATATTAACTTGAATTATACATATGTTATTACAGTCTTGACAAAACCATGGGTCTTTTTTAGTTTACTTCATTTACAACATATATTAAATTTTTTATACATTTTAATACAATCTTGACAAATCAATGGATCTTTCATGAAGGGCTTTCTCCACTCATGACATTCATCACATTTACCACACTCTCCAATAAATAGCTGACAAATCTTTGTAACTTTTTAGAAGGACTTCTCCATTCGTTACATTCATCACATTTTTATCAACTTTGCAAATTCGTTGATCCCATTCATGAAAATAGTCACATTTTTGACAAGATCGACAAATATTTTTTCCATTCAAGACATTCATTACAACTTTACATCTCATACAGTTTAATTAATACATTGCTGACAAATTTTAATTTTTTTTAGTAGGTTCTCCCAATATATTATAATCTTCACATTATATATACTTCAAAATAAAACTTGATATGCGGTATATGTAAATTTGCTATGGGTTTTCTCCATTTAACGCAATTATAACAAATCGTACACATTTGGGTACATGACTGACAAACTTCATGATTTTTTTCAGAAGGAAAATTCCATTCATCACATTCTTTGCACTTTCTACAATTATTAATACAAATATTTACAAATCTGTGGACTTTTTTTCAGAAGGATATTGCCATTATTGCAGATATTACATTCCGTATACATTTTTATACCTGATTTTCTTTAGAAGGTATTTTCCATTTATGACAATTTGTACATCTTGAATACACTTCATCACATTTTTGACAAACTCGGTAGTATTTTTGATAAGGTTTTTCTCATTTCATGACACTTTACATTCGATACATGGTTCAATACAAGCTCGACAAATTCTCTGATTTTCTTTGTAAATTACTGCCAATTGATTGCATTTATCACACTCGTGATGCATTATCCTCTTTTTTTTTGTTATTTTAGATTTCAAAGAACTAATAGTCAAACTTTAAACAAATAATTATAACGGTTTTAAGAGACTATTTACAATATGCACAAAAATTTACAGAAATAAAATTTGATTAAGTAGGACCAGTAGAAAATTCTTGAATAGAAAGAAAAGAATTCCAACAAGGATGTCACAAGAACATTTTGTTTATATAGTACAACATTGTGTCACTGGGTTTGTACACAAGACAGGATGAATTATAACAATTAACGAGTGAGTCTTCAAATTTCAAATTAGAATAAATTCTTTTAATGAGGAATTCTTAAAATTCGCGATATTTATTTAAATTCTAAATTTAAACTTCCCTTTGAAGAGATGCACGGCAATATATAAAGTATTATTATCATTTTTTTTTTTTTTTTTTAAAAAAAAAAAAAACAACTTTTTAAAAAAAAGAGAAATTTTTTTAAAAAACAATTAGTACTTCGATTACAAAAATTACAACCAATAAATGTTTGGAAACAATCATTGAATTTATACAAAAGCTTTCAACCTCAACGTAAAGAATTATGGATCTGAATGCATAATAGCAAGCGTAAGTTTTCCTTCTTTTTGAATTTTCTTTGTACTTCATCCAAAATACTAGTAGTTGTATGAAATATGAAACAATTACTTTATAAAATATTTTATCACAATCAATTATTTATGATATTATATATAAATTTTTTTCCGTATTTTATTTAAAATATTATCTATATTTCCGAATTTGAATTACTTTAAAAATATGTAAGTGATTATACAATCGTTTAACCGGTAGAATATTTTTAACTATAAATGGGTTTCGCCATTCTATTATAACT